GACCAGGAGAGGGGACACAGGGGTGACCAAGGCGGTGGTGCCACAGGAGAGTCTGGTGCGACAGACGGCGACACTCACACTGGGTAGCTACCTGAGCGGACGCGTACAGCTGAGGAGACACAGGGGTGTAGCGCGACACAGTGGTGAGGGTGTACAGACTGGACCCTGGCGCACGTGTGAACGTGGTCAAGTGGCGGCCAGTCCTAGAGCACGTACAGATCGCCAAACACTGTCCTCCAGGAGTAAAGGTGTCAACCCAATGATCCTGAAGGACGGCGTTGCTCACCAGGTTCGTAGAGAACGAGGGGATGTGGAGACCTGACAGCTCACCGGACGGGACCGCCGGACACGGGAGCACAGTACTGGGCCCCCAGAGGGGTCAGCCAGTGAGACAGGGACAGGTGCAGGGAGGGGAGTGACGGTGGTACTGTCGCGAAAGAAACAGCGAGAAGCACCAGAGTCAAGTGTAAAGGTGTGCAAGGCCTGAGCCGACGCAGTACCAGGGAGAGCAGACTCACTAGCACATAGAGCTGCAGCCTCTATACCTGGATCAGGTAGCATACACAAGTAGCAGTCACCCTCAGCACTAACAGTCAATGCATACATGGCAGCAAGAATTGCATCATAGTCAAGATCAAAGATAGGAACACCACGTCTAAGCAGGTCAGCCCAAGGGGGGAACTCAGTAGCCTCAGGAAACTTGGCGCGCCAGGCGTCGCTAAGCCGAGAGAAGCAGCGGTACTCAGTGTGATACCCGCCGCATGGCCGACCAGTGCGGGGGCCTGTGAGAACGATTTACGGGCAGCGGACAGGACCCCCAGACACCCCACGCTGAGCATACCAGTCATGAAGCTGCTGAGGGGAGAGGGTCTGCTACTGCTGCTGCCGCTGCCCCTGGCCACCACTGGCGCTCCCCTTCGGGCCGGCCGCACTCCAGCCCCCACCTCCGCCACCACTACCGCTGCCTCCTCCCCCACTACCGCCGCCGCCTCCTCCACCGCTCCCGGTCCCACCGCCGCCCCACCCACCGCCTCCACCCCCACGGCCACCCCCACCACCTCCACCACCCCCGCCGCCTCCACCACCGCTCCCTCCACCGCCACCTCCACCACCCCTGCCACCCTTGCCGCCCCTAGTGCCGCTGCGCTTCCCACTAGGAGCGGAAGCCGCTGCGACCTTCTCAGCACCGAGGAGGTCGACGGCAGCAGCAGCAGAGGCGTAGGAGGGGGCAAGAGGGGAGGGGGAGCACCCCTCAAAGAGGGGAGTGCGAGGAGTGCCACGAGCAGCACCTACAGCGAGGATGTTCTTTTCTGCTGCTAGGAGCTGCTGCTCGAAGTCGGCTAGAGTGAGAGTGGTAGGGTCTTTGGCGAGGAAGTGGTCCCTGACTGAACTGAGAGTGTCAGGGAGGCGGGTGACGAGGATGTAGAGGGTAAAGTACAACGGGGGGGGTTCTTGGCGAGGAAGTCGTTTGCAAGGGCGGCACGAAAGCGAGCGTCACTAGCGCGGAGGTGAGAGATAAGGTCCTCAGCGGTGGCAAACGAGGACAGGTCTGGGAACAGGTAGGGCAGGATGAGACGACCTACGGCTACCACTTTTTAGGTAAGAGTAAGAAGTTTGGGAGGCTGACTGGGACCTAAAAAAAGCGGCTGCGAGTCAGTGCAATCGGGGTAAATAAGTGGCCGCCAGCCTGATAGCAATGCCTTAAAAGCTGATGATGTGGCCGAGAAAGCTGATGCTTGAACGGACGAAGGTACATTTGGACAGTTTGGCGTGGAGGCGGTGTTGGCGGAGAGTGTCGAGGACGATGCATAAGTGCTGAGTGTGTTCTTTGATTGCCTTGCAGAAGATGAGGATGTCATCAAGGAAGACGATGACAAAGGGGTCGAGGAAGGCCCAAGAGATGTCGTTCATGAGTCCCATGAACGGGGCTGGAGCGTTGGCGAGGCCGAAGAGAAGAAATAAAACTCGAAGTGGTCGTAGCGGGTTTGGAACGCTGTCTTGGGAGTGTCTCTTTTGGCGAGGCGGATCTGATGGTAACTGAATCGTAGGTCGAGCTTGCTGAAAACCGTCGTTTTCCTAAGCATGTCGAACAACTCCTCGACACGGGGTAGTGGCAGGGCCTACTTTATGAGTGTAATCTCCACTGCTAGACTGATTTGAGGGTGATTTTAAAAGATAATGTTGATGTGTTTGGGTAATTTTTTGGTGAATTAGATTTCTCTGATAACACAGTGTATTGGTTTAGGCCACATTGATGCCCTCGGGTACTTTTTTCCCTTAGCGAAGATTTCCCTAAACAGCGTTCAAACCCACCCCCCCCCCCCCCCCCCCCCCCCCCCCCTCCCCCTTTACCCAAATTTTGTCCGAGCGTGATTTCCGTACATCTCGAAAATACTGAAATTCCCTCATGTACAGTCAATGCGTTGGCAACAGTCATGTCTCTGATTGGTCCTTTATTTCTTGTTTCCTTGCCAGCACAACAGGAATGGGAATCGCTACAGCACATTTTGGATTGCTGTCTAGTGCAACAACAAGGTAGAGGAAAAAACTACGCTGATGCCTCTGGGTAAAAATGTCAAAGCTTTAAGCTGCAGTGACGTGTCAGGGTTTCTAAAGACGCTACACTGCTAATCAGGGTTTTAAAAAATGCTACACTATTAAACGGAGAGGTTAAAATCCAAATATAGGCCCTGGGTACTGGGTACTTGTTCTTGATTGTGATGGCATTGAGGGCGCGGTAGTCGATGAGACGTAGGTCGCCTTCCTTCTTATGGGTAAAACAGTATGGGGGCAGCGTATGGTGATGTGCTGGGGCATACAAAACCCTTCTCAAGAAGGTTATCAATTTGTTGGTGTAGCTCCAAAATTTCGGCAGTTCTCATATAATGGTCGGGCTCATGGGCGGTGTAGACCTAGGGACGAGGTGAATGTTATGGTCGATAGCACGGTCGGGCGAAGTTCGGTAGGCAGATCGGCGGAGAATGCATCAATATAATTTTGAACTACGTGTCAGAAACTAGCAGAAGGAAAAAATGAGTGAACTATGAAGCAGTTGGGTACAAATACCAACCCTATTGGCTACCCCACTACAGCCTACACAACACAATATTCTGACACACCCCCATAGGCAAAGTGGGGGAGTACAAGCAGTCACAGAAAAGCAAAGCAAGCTCAAGGTGGATCAAGAAGTCACCACACAGTCCGAGCATAGGCAAATGGCCACAAGGCCAGTTCACATGCAGAGTTATATAAAACAGAGCAAACAGTACAGTGATCACAACCTAGCAAGTGTAAGCATGCAGATATATAGATAGATCACAGTACAAGCAAAATCACGCAGTGAACAAGTGAGAAAACGTAGGCACCAGGCCTCAAGTAGTACAGAAACGCTGATGATCACCAAGCGGAAGTGCCTTGGTAAAAAAAAATATCAGCAGTGTTGGCCCGGGTGGCCACGTAAGCAAGACGAAGCTGACCACGCTGCTGCAACTCTCGAGCAAAGAAGTAACGCAGAGCGATGTGCTTCGTTCTATGCTCCAGTCTGTGCTCCTGACACAAGGCGATAGCGGCCTTGTTGTCTACGTACAGAACTGGAGGAGAACTAGGCCGCTCTCCCAAGTCGGTCAGCAGGTAGGTGAGCAAGCGTAACTCCTGTGCAGCCATGGCTCCTGCGTAGATCTCAGCCTCACAAGTGGAGCTGAGAACAGAAGACGAGCGAGTAGAACGCCAAGAAACAGAGCCAGAGCCAAGGCTGAACGTGTAACCCTGTGACGACCGCTGCGTAGCCAGGTCGTCAACCCAAGAGGCGTCTGAGTGTCCAGTCAGAACAAGTCGACCCTGTCCTCCAAGCACCAGCCCCATGCCTGATGTACTGCACAAGTAGCGCAACACCCTCTTAGCAGCCTCCTAGTGCTCTCGCCGGTGTCTCCCATGCGCAACCTAGCGAGCCAGGAGGGTAAGAGGGTACGCAAGGTCAGGTCGCGTGCAGGTCATCAGGTACATGAGGCAGCCCACAAGCTCTGGATACGGGCCACTCGGCTCTACGGACTCGTCCGAAGGTGGAGCTGAGAGCGAGTGACCGGTAGGCAGAGGAGTGGACTGTGGTGAGGAGAACTGGAAGCCGAAGAGCTGAAGGACCTGCTGCACCATGTGTGACTGAGTCAGGGTGATGGTGCGCCGTGCTCTGTCCCGAGTGATCTGCAAGCCAAGATAGCTGCGCAGCTCACCCAGGTCTGAGCAGGTGTGTCTCTTATGCAGCTCCGACTTCACCACGGCCAGTGCCTCAGTGTCAGCAGTGGTAAAAACAAAGTCGTCGACGTACACGAGGATGTAGAACGGCGGCAGCGAAGTGTCGGTGCGCAGAAACAGCGACGCATTTGCAGTTGAAGGAGCAAACCCAAGAGCCGCAAGTATCGTCCTCAGTGTGTCGTGCCACTCACAAGGCGCCTGGCAGAGACCGTAGACTGGCCGCCGGAGGCTCCACTGGGTACCTGCAGGAAACGACCCAGTGAGACCAGGTGGGTGGCGCAGCCAGATCTCCTCGTGCAGGCTGCCCTGTAAGAAAGCTATGCTGAAGTCAAGAGAGTGAAGCTCGTAGTCACGCTGAGCGGCAACGTGCAGCAGCACCCGAAGAGTGGTCATCTTCGGGGTGGGGAAGAAGGTCTGGAAGAAGTCAACTCCCTGTCGCTGACTGAAGCCTCGAGCAACGTAACGAGCCTTGAAGACACGCGGAGAACCCGGCGGCCGCTTCACCCTGAAATCCACATGCCATCAACTATGTTCGCCCCAGGAGGGGGAACTGCGTCGACGTAAGTGCCTGTGGACTTCCAAGATGCCATCTCTGCGTCCATGGCTATCTGCCACTGAGAGGAGTAGGGACCCGTAATCGCCTCTGCGTAAGAGCGCGGGGTCGGGATGTCCAGTGCATCCGGGTCTCCCTCAGGTGCAAGCAGCCAGGCCACGAGATGAGATACAGCAGCCAAAAGACACTCAAAGTCCTCCTACCTGTCCTCAAGGACGTCCGTGCCAAGAGCACACTCACCCCCGACAGACGGAGGACAGACAGACTCAGACTCAGCAACAAGACTAGCGGCGTAGTCTAGACGACACGCAGCAGCAAAGTCCACAAGCTCAGCAACTAAGGCAGACGCAGAAGTTGAGTCAAACGACGGGTCAGTGATGACAGTGGCCAGGAGACGCGTGACAGTGGGGCTGGCAGCACGAACCAGGTCAGACTCAGGGTCCGGAACGTTAGGAAGAGAGGAAACAGGAGGAGGCAGCAGGGGGACACGCTGCGGAACAGAGGAAGGACGAAGTGCCATAGTGTGGTTACCTGGCACAGGACGAGGAAGCGGACGCGGGACATGACGAGCACGGCCAATAGTGCGAACAGGGGAGGCAGGACGAGACGCAGGCTCACGACGCTCTGTAAGGGAGGCTGGCTTCTCAGTCTAACAAGGTGGGGCAGGCAGCGGTGAGTCTGGAGGAAGGGTAGTGGACGAAGGAAGACTAAGAACCTCACAGAGCACCGACTCGGGCGGGAGCTCGGACAGCTGCGGCGGCGGCAAGAAAAACGGTCGCTGCTGCACAGGCCCCCCAGCTCCAGCACCTCCAGCTCCAGCACCTCCAGCTCCAGCGCCTCCAGCTCCAACGCCTCCAGCTCCAGCACCTCCAGCTCCAGCGCCTCCAGCTCCGGCGCCTCCAGCTCCAGCGCCGCCAGCTGCATCACCTCCAGCTCCAGCGCCTCCAGCTCCAGCGCCTCCAGCTCCAGTGCCTGCAGCTCCAGCGCCTCCAGCTCCAGTGCCTCCAGCACCAGCGCCTCCAGCTCCAGTGCCTCCAGCTCCAGTACCTCCAGCTCCAGCGCCGGCAACTCCAGTGCCTCTAGCTCCAGTGCCTCCAGCTCCAGCAGCGCGACTCCAAAGGCGGGCACGCTAAGCAAACCACTCGCGCAGCCGCTGTGGTGAGAGAGGCTCACGCTGGCTAGACCGCTGCGGTGAGGCATCCGGAGGACCTCCAGCAGACGCAGCTCCCCCAGGCTCAGCACCCCCTGGCTCAGCACCCTCAAGCTCAGCACCCACAGGCTCCTCACCCGCAGGCTCAGCACCCCCGAGTCTCTCTCGCTCAGGCTTAGCACCCCCCGGCTCCGCACGCTCAAGCTCAGCACCCCCACGCTCCTAACGCGCAGGCTCAGCACCCCCAGGCTCCGCACGCCTAGGCTCAGCACCCCCAGACGCAGCACCCTGAGCAGCACCACCCTGAGCAGCACCACCCCTAGCAGCACCAGAGTCACCAGTGACCTCGACAGGCTCAGCCAAGGGAAGTGGGTCTACCTGAGACACACCTGAAGGAGCAGGACCCTGAGGGGGGAGGGGGTCTACCGGAGGGGGACCTGGAGCGAGGAAGAGCGGGGGAGGGGGGAGGGGGGGGGAGAGGGGCAGTGCGGTAGGGGAAGAGACGGTATAAGGGAACCGACTAGTCAAACGTGACGTTCTGCGAGAGCAGAACACGGCGCGAGGTGGGGTGGTAAAACTGCCAGACAAGCGCGTAGGGGGAAGCCAAGGAAGACACAGGGAATGGTGCGGGAGGAGAGCTTGTCCGCGGAGGTATCGCGGACAAAGGCACGAGAGCCCCAGACCCGGAACCGCGACGCATCGCCAACCTCCCCCGTCCAACGTAGTGTAGGCGAGGTCTCCGGCAAGGATACATGTGGCCAGAGGTTGAGCTGATGCGCAGCGTACCGGACCACAAACGGCCACAGAAAATGGGGAGCAGCCGCATGGATCATGGAGGTACGAGCCACCTCCATGACTAAGCCAATGCAGTGCTCTGCAATCCAATTTTGCTGCAGAGAGGCCGGAAGCGTGAACGACTGGCGGATGCACTCCCCACGACAAAAGTCCTGCAAGAGGTCACAGAAAAACTCACCACCTCTGTCAAAGTGCAGACGCAGGACAGGAAGGTCCGTGTGGAACCGCTCGCGGATCTAGAGACAGATAGTGCAAATCCAAGGGATCAAGACATCAGGGACCTCCCCCTTGCTGTGCAGGGGGAAGACCGTGGTGTTACGCAAGTAGTCGTCAACAACCAGCAGAAAGTACCGCTCGCGGCCCTGTCCCTGGACGCGGGCTGGGCCCCACACGTCCATGTGGAGAGTCTGTAGGGGAGCAGTCGTCGGGGGAAACGAGGAGGAGTGAGGAGCGGCGCGCTGCCACCCCTCGACGCAAGGAATGCAGGGCAGGGCAGGCAAGGGCGGGAAGGGAGGCAGAGATGGGAGTGCATGCCACGGAGGCGTGGCAGGGAGGGGTGACCAAGGCGGTGGTGCCAAAGGAGAGTCTGGTGCGACAGGCGGCGACACGAGCAGGAGGCTGCTACCTGACCTGACGCGGACACCTGACCAAACGCAGCTACTTGAGGAGGCGCAGTAGTCAGTGTGTACAAACTTGACCCAGGCCGACGGGTGAACGTGGCCAGGTGACGGCCAGTCCGGGAGCACGTGCAGATCGCCACACGCTGCCCTCCAGGGGTAAAGGTATCAACCAATGCATCCTGAGAACGAGGGGAGGTGGAGACCTGACAATGAGCCAGACGGAACCGCCGGACACGGAAGAACAGTGGAGGAACGTGCAAGAACCGGGCCCCCAGAGGGGTCAGCCAGAGAGACTGCAACAGGTGCAGGGAGTGGTGTGACTGTGGTACTGTCGCGAAAGAAACAGCGGGAAGCACCTGAGTCAAGCGTGAAGGGGTGCATGGCCTCAGCAGGCGCAGTACCAGAGAGTGCAGACTTACTAGCACCAAAAGCAGCAGCCTCTATACCTGGGTCAGGCGGCACACACAGGTAACAGTCACCCTCAGCACTAACAGTCAAAGCATACATGGCACCAAGGATAGCGTCATAGTCAAGAGCAAAGATATCAACACCAGACCTAAGCAGCTCCGCCCAGCGGGGAAGCTCTGCCTCGTCGCCAAACTCTGCGCGCAAAGCGTCGTCGAGGCGGGAGAAGCAGCGGTGCTGTGTATGGAACTTCCCGCATGTCTGACCAGCGCGGTCACCTGTGCGAATGACGTACAGGCAGCGAACACTACCCCCGGACACCCCACGCTGAGCAAATCACTCACAAAGCTGTTAGGGTGAAGGGGTCTCATGCGGATGCTGCTGCTGCTGCCTCTGAACGGCTCCAGCCCGACCACCACCACTGCCGCCGCCACCACTCCCACTGCCGCCACCGCCGCCGCCACCACTCCCACTGCTGCCACGACCACCACCACCACTCCCACCACTACCGCCACCGACGCCACCGACGCCCCCACTCCTGCCAGCACTCCCACCGCCACCTCCGCCACCTCCACCGCCTCCACTGCCTCCACCACCATCCCCTCCGCTGCCACCTCCACCACTCTTGCCTCCCTTGCTCTTGCCGCTACGGTGCTTCCCACTAGGAGCAGAAGCAGCGCCGACCTCCTCAGCACCAAAGAAGTCAACAGTAGCAGCAGCAGAAGCAACAGAGGGGGCAAGGGGGGAGGGGGGGCACCCCTCAAAGGAGGGCGTGCAAGGAGTGCCACGAGCAGCACCTACAGCGACTATGCTAGTCTCAGCTGCAAGGAGGCGCTCCTCTGGCAGGTCGACAGTGAGGTCTGTGGGGTCAAGGGCGAAAAGGTTGTCCCTGACTGCGCGAAGAGAGTCAGGGAGGCGGGTGACGATGAAGTAGAGAGTGATGTACATCGGGGGCGGGTTCTTGTCTAGGAACTCAGCTTTACGCGTGGCGCGGTAGCGAGTGTCGCTAGTGCGAAGGTGGGTGATGAGGTCCGCAACTGTGGCAAAGGAGGACAACTCGGGAAAAAGGTAGGGCAGTATAAGGCGGCCGAGAGCAGCAGTGGCAGGGGAGGAGTAACGAGCGACTACAATGTCGTACAGGGCTTTAGTAGTCTTGTGCTTGCCAAAGCGAGCGCGTTCGGCCAATGGCAGGTGGCTGCGAACGGCTAGGCGAGCGGGTAAGCCACTGTGAGTGAGTCGCACTGTCAGCTGTGTTGGAAGGGGCAAGAAAGGCTCCAGACGTGTGGTCAAACAACGAAACATTGTCTCTAGAATCGCTCAGTAAGAACAGCTGTAAGTCATCGAGCCACGTATCGAACTGGATGGGACGGCCCTCAAGATCGAACTCGAGAACAATGAGAGTAGCCATAGCTAGCAGAGCAGGGTGGCGCTTAGAGCAGGGCAGGGCAGTGCGCAGGCAGGGCAGAGCGGCGCGCGGGCAGAAATGGTAGCGCGAGGGCTGCAAAGGGCGGCGCGCGGGCAGGCAAGGGTGGCGCGCGGGCTGCAAAAGGGCGGCGAGCAGGCAAGCAGGAGCGGCGCGCGGCAGGCGAGGCGGCGCGCGGGTCTGCACAGGGCAGCGCGCGCACAGGCAGGGGCGGCGCGCGGCTGGCAGGGCAGCGCGCGGGCAGGAAACATGCAGCGCGTGGCCAGCAGGGCGGCGCGCGGGCAGAGCAGGGCGCGCGCGGGCGGCACGACGTAGGGCAGCGCGTGCGTGGGGCAGCATGACGCAGGGCAGGGCGTGCACGAGCGGCGCGACGCAGGGCAAGGCGTGCGCGGGCGGCGCGATGCAAGGGAAGGCGGACGCGGGCAGCGCGACGCGGGGCAAGGCGTGCGCGGGCGGCGTGACGAGCACGGTAGGTCGTACGCGCGCGGTGCGACGCAGGCAGGGCGTGCGCGGGGCGGCGCGACGCAGGGCAGGGCGCACGCGGGCGGCACGACGCGGGCAGGGCGTGCGGAGGGCAGCGCGACGCAGGGCAGGGCATGCGTGGGCAGCGCGACGCAACGCAGGGCAGGGCAGGGCGTGCGCGGGGCGGCGCAACGCAGGGCAAGGCAGGGCATGCGCAGTTGGTGGGGCAGCATGACGGGCAGGGTACGATCGGGTGGGCCTTAACGAGAATGGTCCTGGAACAGGACCATCTCTGAAACCATGTCAGAAACTAGCAGGAGGAAAAAATGAGTGAACTATGAAACAGTTGGGTACAAATACTAACCCTAATTTGGTTGTACTCCATATTGGCTACCCCACTACAGCCTACACAGCACAATATTCTGACACTACATTCTGGATAGGTGATGGTAACGACTCGACTGATGCTTCAGATTCGGCAGTGGTGAAGATAAAAAAAAATGTGATGAGGAGGAGGTGATGAAGGAAGGGTGGGGGATGGTGGGTCGACGACTTCAGAGACGGGACGAATGATGGTACGCGTGGCTGCTGGTTTGAGAGGTGGGGAAGGAGGAGGTGTGTTAACTATTTCAGGGGAGCTGGGCAGTGTTGGCTGCGGCGCAGGGGCTATGTGAGGAGGAGGGAAAGTGGGGATGTAGAAGCTGGAGATGGGGCAGCTTGGAGTGGATGGGTTGATGATGCAAAACTAGTTGGATATGCTTTGGTTTACGATACTAGAATGAAATATGGTAGATTCAACCGATTTCCATAATAATATGAAAATATGCTCCTAGAAATATAACATTCATGCAATCTTCTGTTACCCATTATCCTGAGCCCATGTTTATAGATTCATTCTGTTGGGCTGAGAAAAGCCCTTAGGATCGTTTTCGAGACTAAGACTCAGGATAATAATGTAATTTGCTGGTGAACTGGTTGAACCACCTTGTGCTGATGTGTGAGGACAAGATAAGTTAATTATAGCAAGGAAATACAAAGCCTTTTATATGATCACAAGGAATATGAAAGTTTTAACTAACTGATGTTACAATTGTTGTTGCGATTCGATACAGTGACGACTCGGGCAACTGCTCAATGATGAGTCAGTTGTGTGTCCTTGCTGTCGCGCTGCTTTTTGGCGAGTCAAAGGTCGCTGACCTTTGACCTTCGCTTAACCTCTTGCTGTTGCTTTTCTTGTCAACCGCTTCACTGTAGTTTCGGTTGACTCACTTTGTTGTAGTTCGCTTCGTTTACACTGTGGTGCTTGACACATCATAAGCGCGAACTATATTGTTTCCAACACTCCCCTTTGCTTCCGGAGTGTCACCACCTTCGTTGCTGGTGACGTGGCCTTGTCCAGTCGGCAGCATGTGTCAGAATGAACGGACTGGAATGATTGAACTAACAGAGAAATCAGTACAAATAGCAAACCCTAGAATTGTGTACCCCATATAGGCTAACCCACTGTAGCCTAACAAACGCAACATATATAATGTTTGACACACCCCCATAGGCAAAGTGGGGGAGACCTAGGGGTCACAAGACCAGTCAAGGCAAAGCAAGGCAACAACAAGCTCAGGGTGGATCTCAAGGATACCACACAAATTCCGAGCACAAGCTAGTGGTCACAAGACCAGTTCACATGCAGGTTTATAACAGAGCATGAGATACAGTGATCACAACCTAGCAAGAGTAAACATGCAGGTATAGATATATATAGTGATCACAGTACAAGCAAAGTCAAGAGGTAAGCAAGTGAGGTCCAGTAGGCACAAGGCCTAGTAGAGTGCAGAAGCGCTGATGGTCACGAGGCTGAAGCGCCTTGGTGAACACATCAGCAGTGTTGGCCTCAGTGGCCACGTAGCGAATACAAAGCTGACCGCGCTGCTGCAGCTCTCGAGCAAGGAAGTACCGCAGGGCGATGTGCTTCGTTCTGTGCTCCAGTCTGTGCTCCTCACACAAGGCAATGGCAGCCTTGTTGTCGACGTACAGTACTGGAGGAGAACGAGGCGGCTCTCCGAGGTCAGTCAGCAGGTAGGTCAGCCAGCGTAGCTCCTGGGCAGCCATGGCTGTAGCGTAGATCTCAGCCTCGCAACTGGAGCCGAGAACAGAAGAAGAGCGTGTAGAGCGCCAAGAAACTGAGCCAGAGCCAAGGCTGAAGGTGTAACCCTGAGACGACCGCTGAGTGGCCTGGTCGTCTGCCCAAGAAGCGTCTGAGTGCCCTGTGAGCACAACTCGGTCTCGCCCTCCAAGCACAAGCCCCATGCCCGACGTACTGCACAAGTAGCGCAACACCCTCTTAGCGGCATCCATGTGCTCCTTCCTGTGACGGCCAGGCGCAACGTAACGAGCAAGGATGCTAAGAGGGTATGCAAGGTCAGGTCGAGTGCAGGTCATCAGGTACATGAGGCAGCCCACAAGCTCTGGATACGGGCCACTCGGCTCTACGGACTCATCCGAAGGCAGAGCTGAGAGCGAGTGACCGGTAGGCAGAGGAGTGGACTGAGGCGAGGAGTACGTGAAGCCAAAGCGCTGGAGAACCTGCTGCACCATGTGTGACTGAGTCAAGGTGATGGTGCGCCGTGCTCTGTCCCGGGTGATCCGCAAGCCAAGATAGCTTGTCAGTTCACCCAGGTCTGTGCACGTGTGTCTCCTCTGCAGCTCCGACTTCACGTAGGCGAGTCCTGCAGTGTCAGCAGTGGCAAAGACCAAGTCGTCGACGTACACGAGGATGTAGAACGGCGGCAGCGAAGTGTCGGTGCGCAGGAACAGCGACGGGTCAGCTGTAGAAGGCGCGAACCCAAGAGCCGCAAGTGTAGTCCTCAGTGTGTCGTGCCACTCACGCGGAGCCTGGCGGAGACCGTAGACTGGCCGCTGAAGTCTCCACTGGGTACCAGGAGGAAACGACCCAGTGAAGCCAGGTGGGCGGCGCAGCCAGATCTCCTCGTGCAGGCTGCCCTGCAAGAAAGCAGTGCTGAAGTCAAGTGAGTGAAGCTCGTAGTCGCGGTGAGCGGCTATGTGCAGCAGCACCCGAAGAGTAGTCATCTTCGGGGTGGGGGAGAAGGTCTGGAAGAAGTCAACTCCCTCTCGCTGACTGAAGCCTCGAGCCACGTAACGCGCCTTGAAGACAGGCGGAGAACCCGGCGGCCGCTTCACCCTGAAAATCCACATGCCACTGACGATGTTCGGCCCAGGAGGGGGAACCTCGTCGACGTAGGTGCGTGTGGACTTCCAGGAAGCCATCTCGGCGTCCATGGCTGTCTGCCACTGAGAGGAGTAGGGACCCGCCATCGCCTCAGCGTAAGTGCGTGGGGTCGGGATGTCTGGTGCATCCGGGTCTCCCTCAGGGGCAACTAGCAAGGACACGAGACGGGGCAAAGCAGCAGCAAGACACTGGAACTCCTCCTGTCTGTCCTCAAGGACGTCCGTGCCAAGAGCACACGCACCCCCGACGGACGGAGGACAGACAGACTCAGACTCAGCAACAAGGCTAGCAGCGTAGTCTAGACGACAGGCAGCAGCAAAGTCAACCAACTCAGTGACCAGAGCAGACGCAGTCGAGGACTCAAAGGTAGGGTCAGTGACAACAGTAGCGAGGAGACGCGTGACAGTAGGGTGCTCAGCACGGTACCGGTCAGACTCAGGGTCCGGAACGTGAGGCAAAGAAGACGCGGGAGGAGACGGTAGAGGGACACGCTGAGGAGCAGTAGAGGGACGCAGAGTCATGTAGTGAGTGCCTGGGACAGGAGGAGGACGCTCACGACGGACACGACTACCAGTGCGAGCAGGACGAACAGGCGACGTAGGACGAGACTCAGGCTCACGACGCTCTGTAAGACCTCCTGTGGGACCAGTGTAAGGAGAGGGAGCAGGGAGAGGCGAGGTAGGCGGTAACTGTGACTGCGACTGGACAGGCAGAGGACACTCTACGGAGGGAGGAGGACAAGGAGGAGGAGCCTGCCCAAGAACCTGCTGAAGGAGCGGTACGAAGTACGGTCGCGGCCGCGCAGCGTCTCCAGAAGCA